AAACCGCAAAATTCCGGGGGGGGGGGAGGGCGGCAGTTGGCAGTTTTACTATTAGGGGGTGTTTAGTAAATGCGGGAAGTGATTATGTGCACACACACACACACCTTCACATTGTTTCACTATGAGGCACCTCCTGGCCAGTCTCCGGAAAATCCTCGCGGCGCCTCGCCTGCTACTGCTACGACGGAAACGGTATCGGCGGTATCTCCGAACCCACATGCCCGATATCAAACACTCTGACACATATATTCCTACTTTGCAACTCAACCGAAACATTCGGTGGTAGCGGCTGAAGCTTTTGAAGAGAGTGCCAGGCGCCGCTTTGGGATAGTTGAGTAGTGCTGTTTTACCCTAAGGCCCCTTCGGGTCTACTCTGAGTGTATACTGAATGAAGCACTGCAAGTGGCAAGCGCAGCCGTGATCTTCATTACTATCCTGGCTGACTAGCATTGTAAGTCCACATCACAGCAAGATTCACAAGAAGATCCATGAGAACAACATCCTCAAACTCAGGATCATGCAGCGGCCGGTGACGAGAAGCCTGCAGCGCTCACCAATGGAAGTGCAACTGCTAAGTTTACCCCTAAGCCACGTGTCGGCGGGGCCGTGGAGGAGGAGAACGGTTTTGATGTCAATCAGGACCGGTGCAATTGAGTAGCGTGTGCTTCCGTCGATTCGATATCTTCGGGCCCCCGGTTCCTCCGGTCGCTCAAGTTGCTGTGTGCGCTCTTGGGGAGGACTTCAGCTTGGTGAAAGATTTTGATGGCCTGGCCCTGGCAGCTCGGTGTCTGGTGCGCCTCTGCGAGAATGGGAACCTCACGGTGGCTGCGGAGCTGATCCAGGCCGGGCCGGGCCCCAGAGCTGGAGAGCCCCCGCTCTCTTTCTCTCTATGTATATATGTTTTGTGCACCGGTGTTGTCGGCATGGTGGAACGTGAGGGAAGCAGTCGCACAGCCTGCAAAAGCAACTCTGAATAACGGGTCTTCGGAGGCTCTGGGTGTGTCAGGTTAGGCTGGAGTAGTTGAGGTTCATGCCCTTTTTCTGAAATGCTGCAAGCGGTCTGGCAGCAACAATATGTGTGCAAAACAGTCTTTAACGTCCAGGTGGGGGCAAGGGAACCGATCTCTTCAACTTTTTCGGAAGCATCGTGCCGTCAAGAATGGGGGAGCTTTCCCTTCATTCAGACTCCAGCGGGTTGAGCCGTAGAAAACCCGCTTCGCCTCGAGCTGTACGAGTGTCGGAGCCCAAGCCCTCTACCTACATCCTACTTCAGCGTGAAGTGCTTAGTGTTGAAGAGTTGAAGGTGAACAAGCGGCGAGGAAGGGTCTAGAGTCTACGGCTCAAGCTGTAATGACTAGTAGTGGTTTAGGCGATTTGTGCTTCAGGTTGAATGCAAAGATCGCAATCACTCAGGGGAGATTCCTGAATGTATTGTTAGGCTTCCTGATTCAGGAATCCTCAGAAGCAACGGCGGAGTCTCTATAGGTATAGAATTGTATCGAAGGCATCAGCCTTAGCATCACGTCGAGGCATCCGAGGGCCATCATCTAGCATGGGGTTAACTGACGTTAACTGCATGTTTGGGTGTTTAGGGGTTTGCATTCGACATGGCGTGGGTTCAGTGCTGGAGTCAAATCCTGGGAGGACCTTACAGCACAATGCTCTTGTGCAGGGCCATGCAGCTGAGTTAGCAGGCCTTCCGACAGTTTACCTCAGCGGGATCCCCAAGCTTTGAGCCAAAACCTTCAAGCATTGACGCGCGACCCTAAAGAACGCCAACTACCAGGCCAAGGCGGACGTGAACATGCCTGAGCCGGACATCGGGGTCACACCCCTCATAGCGGCCCCTTGGTTCAGGACAGAAGTGGATTCACAAAGCTCCCCGGGGGGTGCGGGCATGTCATGCGCCCTTCATCCTTCTCAGGCTGCCAACGCTGGCCACTTGGATATCTGCAAGTACCTCTTCAGAATCTTGGTGCTAAAGCACTTCGGTTTTTCTCGTTTCGTACAGGAGTCGTATGGTGCGTCGGTTCTATTCCGTGCTCCAGATCCCAGGAAAAGGCGCGGAAGTTAGCACAGAAGTACAGGATGGTACAAGGAGAACCGCCCTCCACGCAGCTGCGCAGATGGGCTTCGCTTCAGTCGTGCAGAAGCTCGGCATGACATTCGATGTTTCGATGCTTGGGGTTGCGGGCTTTTATCCCAGGGGGTGTGTGTGTGCGTGTGTGTGTGTGTGTGTGTCTGTGTGTGTGTGTTTTGTTTTGTGTTGTGTTGTGTTGTGTTGTGTTTTGGTTTGGTTTGGTTTGTTTGTTTGTTTGTTTGTTTGTGTTTTTGTCTGTGTGTCAGAGCCGCAGCATGCATGCGCGTAGGTGTACGGATCGACATGTGGGGCGACTGTGCTGGTTGAAATGCTGTATCTCACGAGCTCTGCACCTCAAACTGTGTTTAGACTTTTTCCCACCCGGTGGTTGTGTCCGAGCGCGAGAGTCTGCATCGTAACAGCTTTCACGGGAGAGCTTTGCTAAGCCTGCGGTGCACTTAATAACAGAGGCCCCGCCGTTCCGTTTCACGCAAAATCTTGTGAGCCTCGCATGTTGGCTCCAGGCTGTTGCTGGAGAAGAACGCCGACCCGCGGGTAGAGGATCTCGTGTTTTTGTCGAGGCATTGTAGTTTTTGACTTGTTTTCAGACTTGCCAATATTGACGGACTGTGAATATGGGGTAAAGGTTTCGGCGTGGTTCTACATTAGTGCCCTAAGCTCTGCACGCTTACTAATTTACAGGATTCCGTCGCATCTTGTCCTGGAAATAAACCTGCTCATGCCGAATCCACTTCGGGGAACCAGAAACAGTATGGATTGCATGGAGCTTGGGGCTTGGGAGTCGAGGTCGTCTAGGATCCTTCCTGAACCCTGCAGAACCCAAACTCATGGATGTGCATGAAACCTTCTGCAGATTCTGAGCCGAACGATGGAAACTAGGTGGAACGATGAGCTAAACCTACCATCCTCATCCCGGAGCCTTGGTCGAAGACCTGACACCATGAACTTCAAAAGCCTGAATCCGACTGGGAGGACCTCACGAAAACACATCCGCTCCACCTTGCGGTTCGCTTCGGCCATGCGGGAGCTGCAGAGCTCCTTCTGAAAGGCACCCAGGCTTATGGCCTCAAGGCTTCAGGGTCTTAACTTTCGGCCCTCGTGCTCGCTCGAAGCGCACACGAGTTTCAAGTTTCGGAGTTTGGGGTTGAAGCTGTCGAGTATTTCAGAGAATGCTGAGACTGGGTTTCAGCAAAGTCTTTTCGCAAGGCTTTTCGCCTGTGTTGAGAAGATTTGGAGGTGAGGCTGTGAGGAGTTAGGTCGAGCTTCGGACTTGGAACTGGCTACGGCTGGACAGAGCGATAAGAGAGGATTGTAGGAAATTGACGAGGTGTTCGAAAATATGATTTTACCGAGCGCTTCAGGTTCTGTGCCAGTACAGTAAGGATCAAGCAGTTTCAACCCATCCTGAGCCCGGGACCCGAAACCCTAAACTAAGAGAGTGTGAGAGTCGAAACTAAGATCAGTCGACGTTAAGATGTACGGCAAAAGCGACTCTTATATAGGAGTGTTTCGGGCTCAGACGCCCAAGCCTTCCGCCACGGTCGAGGCACGAATTGCGTCGCAGAGTATCCTACTGTGGTAAGCAGTGCACAGCATGTTGAACGAAACGGAGTTTTTCGTCTATAAACTCAGGGAAGCCCTCAGCGTGATTCGCCTTGTAGTGCGGGACATAGTGTGGTCTCAGCCAGATCTCCTGGACGTGGTGCGGGAGAACGTATGTCTAGTGAACTCTAGTCATCATGTGCCCCAAATGCGGAGAGCTTAATTATGAACCCCCGGACTCTACAAATTTGGAGATTCATTGTGGAGACCAGGGTGCCAATACCATTTTGACTTGCGCCGTGCAGTTCGAACTTCTGCTAAACGAAACCCCATGCAGTTAATCAGGAATATCGTAGAGTGGTAGGGAATGTACTCGGGTGATCCTTACAAACGGAAGTGCAGGAATTGGGGCTCTACACCTTGCTGAGATTGTCTGCTGGGGGAGAGATTCAACCCCAAACCCTCAGTTCATGATAGGCCCGGAAACTAGGAAATGTGCCAGCGCAAGCACTGCTGAGCAAGTCTGTTTATAAGGTTTAGGGATGTTTAGGGTGTCTTGAGCGTTATATGAACCCTGGACTCCGGGTTTCGGGTTTTCCACTTCTGGGGTGCGGCGTTGAGCCTTGGCTCAAGTTTCGGCCGGTACGCCAAGGCAAAGCCAATCCGAACTGCTCCGACGACCAGGGCCACGTGGCCATCAACGACGCGGTTGCTAAGGAGGGTCTTTTGATTTCATGTCGTAAGACATGAGTACAACTTTCGAATCGATTTTCCTCAACGTCGTCCGACGGACTTCGTCAGTTTCCGATTCCGTTAATGTGTCCAGCTGCTCGAAACTCTAAACTTGGAGCCTTTTCGGGCGGGAGACCTATGTCCGGCGCAGGACCGCTTCGATCTGGTCACGAAGCTCTTGGAACATGGGGCTTTGGTGCCTTGGCCACCAGCTCCCGAAACCGGTTCAGTGTTGCATTCTTTCTGTTCCGCTGTTTGCTATATGGACTTTGGATGATAGTTTTCTGGCGCTCAGATGCCGCAGTGTCTGGCCACAGCCTGGCGGAATGCTGCCCTGTATGCATTCGACAGGTGTTGTGATGTGCTCTCACTTTACGCCTATCTCTAGTGTATTTTGCCATATTGAGCTGCGCTACGCGGCAAAGCATACGAGGTACAACCTTGTGCTGCGATGACATACCTCTACACTTTAGCACATATAAGTCTGCCCCAGTTGTCGGTTAAGCTTGGATCGCTGTGCCAAGGCAGGCCTTCGATATGCCATGTTATTTTGTGTTCGTCGAATTACGTGCCTGTTAAGATTAAGTGTTCTGCTTTCCAGGGTATCTTAGAGTTATGGTCGTTTGTTGTGGAACACTGTGGTTCAGTCTTGTGTTTCCTTAGTAGTTTAGCACCGCATCCCATGCCAGTTTCAGTTTTTCCTACTTCATTTTGCTGTAGCAACTCTGCCGCGCGCAACGCGTCCCATGTCATGTCGCTGTCTACCGCAAACCGCAAGGTAACCATTTTGGGGTGAGCTTCAAAGGCTTCGGCCCCGATACATGGCCCGTACATGCAAGCGCACTGGGTCTTGTAGCCCTTAAGACTCAAGGCTCAAGCCTCATATAAGGTCCCAAGCTCTGAGCCAGGCGAGCCCCAATCTTAATGTGGCTTCCAGGGCCAGGAAATGCAGCCAGGAGTCTTGGAGCCTGAAGATCCAGCAGGGCCTATAAAGTCTAAAAAGTCCACCCCCATCCCGGAATTCCCAAGATTTGGGTGGAGGATGCGAGATTCTTGGCCACCGGCCTTCCGTCCCGATACCAGGTCAATGTGCGGAATATGGCTGGTTTGGAGGCGATCTCCTTCTCCCGCACTCCGCAGATGCAATCCATCATCATGAAGCACGACGTGAACTTTTAAGACGACATCTCTGTGCATATCCGGACGCATCTGAGTGCGTATGCAGCGAGCAAAAAGTGTTCTGTCAGTCACGTACTGCTCTGTTTTGCAATCATCTCCCCTCCGGGTGCCCGCAAGCTGCAGCTGCGAAACTAAGTGCTCGTCATCGGACTCCATGTCAAGCCATAGATTTTCTCTATGAAGGTATTCATTTGGAGCCTTCTTGTTGGCGCGTGTGCTGGGAATCCTGATTAGGAGCAGCAAGAAAGCAAACCTTGTGCTCATGGAATCGCTAGAGCTCTAAGGGCCGTAGTTACCAAACCACTCCGAGAAAGACGGCAGCGTAGAGTTTCGGATAGCCCCGGCTCTGCATCCGAAACCAACCCAAGTAGGCCAGCTGGTTGAAGCTCCAATCCTGGGGTTTCGAGGTTGCGGCACGGGCCGAGTTCGCACGACAGCCCGAGGCCCAGAGGTCTCGAGAGATGACGCACCTGAAGACAGTGTGCACATGTATAGATGTGGCTTGCAAACGAGGCATAAAGGTTTTCTCGCAAGGGGGTTTACGCGCTTGCGACCCCGTGGATTCTGCCGGTCTAACAGCTCTAAAGGGTCCTTTCGTTGCGTTTGTTCTTGGCGAATGCCTGTGCAGAAACATGTTTAGCATTGCCACACATCCCCGCACGGCAGATCAGCATCAAGGGTTCCGGGGCAGGCAGCTTGATTCGTTTGTGGTGCGCTAGACAGCTGCTGCGCTTTGCCGTGAGCGAGCTTTTCCCATCCAACTCCCGACCTGTCTGCAGCACTGCTCAGAGGCCAGCTTGTGGCAGCCCTTTTGCAGGGGTGCGGCCTTGCGCGCCAGATGTCCCTGCTTTGTTGCTGCCAGACGGTGCTTCTATCATGGCTCCTTGCGGTTGAGGCTCGGCACCATGAGGTGCAGGACCGCCCCACAGACTTCGTGGATAGACATGCCCTTCACAATATGTCGCAGACGCTGCCTGCGAAAGATGCCGTGGGCAATCAATCGCCGACTCTCTCTGCCAAAGATGCAGGGAATGCCTCTGCTGTGACCAGCACAGCAGCTCTGGACAATGAATCCTTGAGCACCCGCAGGAACCTGTACGGAGCAATCATCTTCGGCAGTTGTGGAAGTCTGGTGTTCGGCTTCATTTGTGCGCTTAAGTATGCGCAAGCGAAGAAGAGCGTCCCGAAGGCAGGTGCAGCAAACAAGATCGCGGAGGATGGCTCGGGCCAACGCAGTTTCGCAGGAGGTGGGGCTGGCTATGAGTACCAGCAACTGGAGGAGGCAGCGCAAGAAGTTCATGAAGGTCTGGGTGCCTTGAGAGGCTCGGCTGGAAAGCGAACAAGCAGGGCGGGTACTTTGGCACTCCGACACCAAATGGGTTGCTAGACAGCTGTAGGCAGCTGGTTACGAGCCATACAGTACCCTCCAGGTATTGCCTCGCAAGGGATGCGCAGGGGAATGCCCGAGCCCCAAACAGAAATGGCCAAGCCGGTTGGTCCAAGGTCAGGAGGAGATTGAAGACATGCTGGAGCAGCTGAGTCCAGAGGAAAGAGAAGCACGCCTGAACGCATGGGCCCTGGCGCGTGCAGAAAAGCTCCGGAGCCTTGGGACCAATCGGCTTCGAGGGAGTGTTTTGGCGCCAGGTCCTTGAGATGTTCCAGGTAAAATGTCAACTGCTTCAAACGTTTTCATGTTGGCTGCCAGAACGCAGCACGGCTTGATTGAATTGAAGATCTGCAATAATCCGCGCTTCGTGGCCAACATGTCTTCAACTCAACTGAGGCATGAGGCTGGCTTTACGTATTTATCTTGTGAGTGCAGGCTCGCTTCTGCAAGCAAAGAGCAGGTTGTAAAGAGATGTGACAAGTCCCGGGTCTTTGTTGAAACGGATGTGCGCAGACCCCTTCATCCTGGCTGGAGAAGCTGCTTAACAATCGCAAGCACTTCAAGCTGTCTATACTATACAAGGTCTTCGAAGGTAGCAAGTTTTGGATGCACGGTTGCTGGTTTACATCCACCCCTGGGTTAAGGTCTGGCATGTGCGTTGAACTGCAACTGAAAGTTTCTGGCGGCTGTATGCGGCTGTGCTCGGGCCAGCACAAGTCCGAGCGCACACAAGTCGCATTCCGAGTTTGGTGATAAGATATAGCCAGCAAGCCCAACAGCTCAGCATGGACCTGAACCTACCAGCCTGCTTCCCGACCACAGTGCCCATATCAGACGCGCGTCGTAGCAGATAGAAGTTTCATTTCGTTTGGCCAGTCGACGAGACCACCTATGATCTTGAGGAGCGACAATGCTGGATTCTACGTCCTTCGCAAGACCGTCTTGGTAGCCCTCATGATCCTTTATGCTATCTGGCTATCTGATTGGGGTATTGGGCCGGGGGCCCTTGTTGTCGAACAGAAGCATTGGGTCGGGCCTCGTTTCTTTGCCGCGTCAGGGTTCAAGGGTTTAGTACTCGCATTGCATTTTTAATCTGCGTGAAGGGCATGTCCGTCTCTAGGAATTTAGCCCGGTCGGTTTCTGCTGTGGGATTTCAAGGCTGGCTGCTAATTCCGGTACACAAGCTTCCTCTTGTCCTACTCATTGTGAGAACACCCCGAACATACATCCAAGAAAGGAGAAACCCTACATGCTATGTCGGGCGTAGAGTCGTAAGAGTTGAAACGACGCGGGTTAGCAGGGTTCGCGTGACTCCTGCTGAAGCCGAGGTTGCTGGCTCCACGGGCATTCCTGCGCTTCACCGAGGTGAGGCGAGCTGCTCACAGGGCTTCTTCTGGGAGACACACATGCAGCGCTTCGTCTGCCTTTGTGCGAGGGCTTTGGCCTCCGGCTTGAGTTTCTAACCCGGCCGTTCTGATTGATCACCGAGTCTCCGCTTGCTACTGCATGGTTTTGGTGGAAGACAGACCACAAAGCGCAAAATACCGCAGACTAACGTCTGCGTCGCTGCACTCAGGGTCCTCAAAACAGTTTCGGACCGGCATCCAGGACTTGGCATCCTGTCGCTACCAACGACAAAACGGTAAGCCCGAAGCTGCGCAGCTCAGTTTTCCCCGTCTAATGATCATGCTTGGCAAGGCTCGGGTTTCGGTGACGGCTGCACAACTGGCAAAGTATAGTGTGGACAAGTCGGGCAGTGTTGTGACCACCTGCTCGGAATTTAAATTAAATCAGTGCTACAAAAACTGTCCAGCAAACCCCGATGTAGAGTTCTGGGCATTGTCCTATAGACCAAGACAACCAAATCTCGCGAAGGCCACCTTAAACCCCAAATGGTTTGAAGTAGCGGTAGTTTTTGCATCTTTGGTCCTTGGAGATTCATCCGGAAAAGCTCGGTGGAGGTGCACTTCGTGAAGACATGAGGGCTTTCTGGTTTCTGCCCGCAATTGTCTCCGTCTGGTTTCTGTCATGAGAGATGTGCTAGCTCTCGCGGCCAGTCATACTTTCACCATGAAATCTGTTTATCTAGTATACTTCTTCTGGTGTACGAAAGCGTGCAAAGCGTACTGCCTCGCACTGCGAGCTCGAGCTCGGCCCTTGTGTAAGAGTGGAAACACAGCCCATGGGAAAGGGGTATCCAAAGGGGTGCTGTTGAGAGGTTCCTTGCCATCGTTCTTGTCACCAAGTTGGCTGAGCTGGCTCTAATGGCCAGCGATGACATGGTAGCCTGGGACAAGGCGGCAAGTGCTTCTTCAAAGTGGGTTCGCCTTGTGGACTTCGGGACCGTCGCACAGAGTTCAACAGTTGCCTAGAATCCGGTGTGCGGAACTGGAATTCTGGATAAATTAAGGCATGCTCTGCAGATTTCAATGGAGACACCAGAAATTTCTCAGGGTTACCGGGGCGGTTCGGGCCGCGGCTGTGATTGCGACACCTTGGCCCGGCAGCAGGTGCACCTTGTCGACATGCTGATCAAGTTTTTGCCTTCATTCCTGGGGTTCTTGGATGGCTACACGGATGCGAACGCGATAGTCATCGCGGCTGCATGTGATCATCCGCTGGCCCAGGCGCAGCCGACCGCGCAAAACACACCTAATAAATGGAGTCTACCTGTACCCTCGGGCGCCGATTAAATAAGCGGTTCTGCTGGTAGATTGCGGGTTTGCTAAGGTATCGAGAGTAGAACCCGGTTCTTGGATTGAGAACCTGGGTTTGGGGTCGGTTGTTCT